TTAAGTACTTTATGACTAAAAATATTCTTTATGGATCAGAGCAAATATTGATGTATTACCAACTCTTATAAAGGAAAGTAAAACTTAAAGGTGAAAATTTAAAAGGAAAATTTATAACACAAATTCTTTTCTTCTGCAATATAGGCAGCATCTTGGATTATATATTCCAGGTAAAATGATGTTTTTCCATGAAGAAAATAACTTGTTTTAGTATCACCCTACGATGTAAGGTTGGTTATGCCTAGAATTCAGTTATCTAAATATTGACCAGTGTGTTACGATTTTTAATCCATATTAAGAACCCTCCCACCTCAGCCTATTAACATCTCTGAAATCAGCATGTATTATTTTATACCTATAATTGTCATTGTGTTTTCTTGCTTAAAGGTATATAAAATAATGGGGCATCTTAAATTTAGTGAAATATGCTGCTAATTTTAGGCTACTGATTCTACATCTTGATATGTCCCAATATCAGGTACAGAGTACTTGTTTTTAGAAGGTGATCTTCATATTCTTATTACTATTTATATCAAACAGGTATGCAACATGTGGAAGGAAAAGAAAAGATGGAAAGTTTCCTGTAGTTGTACTCCTATAGGACTCAATGGAAACGTTTCCTATTAACATATTTTTCTTTTCAAACAGGGAAATAGAAGAGGAACGGGTGGTATTCTGCTTTTTTGTGTTTTTTTTGGACATGGATCTTATGTCCAGTTTTTTGAGGGTACATCGGTTTTTGTGTGTGGGAAAGGGTGCTCATCTCTGTTCCGGTGTGGAATATGACTTCAAACTGATGGTTATTATGCACAGCAACCACTGACAATATAGCTACAATTAATAGGTTTCAATTTTTTTTTCTTTTTGCAGTTTTTGTTTCAAAATATGATGTTTCCAGGATAGCTTTTTTGGGGTGTTCATTCTTTGTTTCTACTCAACTTCTGTTGTCATTCCATAATTGAATCCTTTTCTTTTTCTTTTAATAAGTTTATTCATTTACTGATTAAAAATATTTACCTTGGCTTTGTCATCTTTAGTTCAGTTAATGCTTTGAGGTCCATGTTTTTCTTTTTGTGTGTACATAAATTCTGATTGAATTAGAATATTTAGAGTCTGGCTTTGGTTTTTCAAATGCATATTTTAATTAATATTCTTAAACCCTCAACTTGACTTACCAGCTTTAGAGGGTATTGGCTGAGGCCCTGCTAATGAAACTTACACATGTATCTTCTTCCTCTCTACATCCCAGTTTTAGTTAAATTGTCATTTCTAGAATACTACACATATTACACAGATTTCTTCCTCTCCTCTACATCCCAGTTTTAGCTACATTATTTTTTTCCAGAATATTATGTTCTCATCTCTACCCTTTCTATATTTAAATGCACTAAGTGTTCATTATTATTTCTTTTTTTACCATGGCTGCTCCATTTTTGGGTTCTTTATTTTGGTTCTTCTCTTAGTTTTATGACTATGTCCATTTTAAAGAAGACTCATGTATGCTATATTTCCGCATTCTTGTATGTTTGAAAATATCCATTTGTATTTTCATTAATGAATGTCATCTCGGGTCAGTATAAAATTTTGGATTACAGAATTTCTTTCTCTGAGAAAGTGTAAATATTGTTTCAAAGTCTACCAGTATTCACTTTTACTGTAGAGGTACTGGAGGCAAGACTGACTTTTCCCCCCTTGTCTGGTGACTTGCATTTTTTTTAAATGGAGAAGACCCAGAAAATAAGTTTTTATTTATCTCTGAATTCTGGTAAATGCACCACACATATATGGGGTCAGTAATCAGTATTTTCTGGATATGGTGTGTCTTCTGACCTTTTGGATACAGGTCTTTTATTTCAAAAGAGCTTTTCTATTATCTTTGAATTTTTCTTTCCATTCCATTTGTTTTGTTGTCTAATGCATAGTAAGTTAGATCCCTTTTGCCTTACATATACTTAATTTTCTTTCTGATACTTTGTTCTTTTCTATTCTATTTTATACTCTCTTTCTCAAAGCCTTCCATATCCTTATTTTTTCTTCATAATAGTCAAGAAGTATACAATCACAAAATGATTTTTAGTGGTTACCTGGGGTTGCACTGTGTGTATGTAGGATAATTTTATTAATCTTCCTACTAGATACTTAGATTTTCTCCAAATTTCCACTATTATAAGCATCCATACATGTTCTTAACACTCATAAAATTAGTAAACTTATCCTAATTCCTACTAAGGAAGTTCAGTGCCAGAAAACTAAATCATGTTTGTGAATCTACTTGCCTGTCTTCTCTTCTGATGTACTCAGGCTTAAGATAATGAAAGATGAATGGTTTTAAGGGTTTCTGGGTAAACAGGACATAAACATGAGACTCCAGTTTTGTAGCTAAGTATATTAAGGAAATCTCCAGATTAAAGAAAATGGTTTGGTGATGGCTTCTTCAGTGCTCTCTAAAAAGATATTAAAGACTTAATGGTAGGGTGTAAGATGCACAATCTTTATGGAGGACTACTTGACATTACCTATTAAGCTGGACATTTTCTATTTATCCCACTATTACCTACTCTCCTCCTAGTTCTGTGCTCCAGGAGGCAGACCTGAATGGTTTCTGGCTGGAAGCCAAAGGAAAGTGCTAGAAAGATACTGCATGGTATGAGGAGAATGAAATTGGGTATTTATTTTAGCAGCTGTCTCTCTGCTAGGTTGTTGCAGGTTGGTTACCTCCCGTTACTGAAGGTCCCAAGTCCTGTCAGGTGACCTCCAAGTAGCTACTCTCTCTGGGTTCTGGTGGTAGTTTCATCTCCTTGTCCATTTAGGCTTAGGGATGGTAATGGCTCATCACCATTGTCATTCTGGGTTTCTGCATCATTTCTTGTTGGTTTCTCTAAAATCCTCCTATGTCTTTGAAAGTCTGCCATTCGCTACACTTCTAGAGATTAATCCTACATATGTAGAATATGACATATATGTAAGATTGTTCATTACAACATATTTTCATAGTGAAATATTGGACATATATGTCCATGAACAGAGGACTTTAAAACAATGGTATAATTATACAGTGGAATATTATGCACCTATAAAAAACTTAGAACATTCATTAGACACATCTATGCAATAATCAGTTGGTTTTTTTCCCCAACTTTCAGTTATTTTTTTCTCTATTTTTTTCTTCACACACTCAAGGGCCCCAAAATATTTGTCAAGCCTCCTTATACCTCAGCTATCATAAAATTCAGGTGTCTGCTTCACTATGTGGTCCTCCCAATCTTTGTTGGTATTTTTTTTAGCTTTGTTGAGATTTAATTGCTTAAAATTGTACACGTTTAATGAATACATCTTGATGAGTTTGTACATACACATACATCTGTGACATCACTAACAAAACCAAGGAACTAAACATAACCATTACTTCAAAAATTTCCTTGTGTTCTTTTGTATATGTGTAGTTTTTTGGAGGAGCACTTAACATGAGATCTCTCTGAACGTATTTTAAAATGCATAATACCATGTTTATAAAGTACATACACTATATTGTATGGTAGAGCTCTAGAACTTATTCATCTTATAAACAGAAACTTCATACAGTGTGGAAAAGCAAGGTGGAAAAAACAATGGATACAGTATTCTACCATATGTGATATGTATCAAAGAAAAAAATGTATTTGCTTATACACATACACACATACACATATGTATGTGTATACAGGCATACCTCAAACCTCAATTTATTGTGCTTCGCTTTATTGTACTTTGCAGATATTGCAATTTTTATAAACCAATGTCCTTCAAACAAGTCTACTGGCACATTTTTTCAAAGCATTTGCTTACCATGTCTCTGTGCCACATTTTGGTAATTCTTGCACCATTCTAAACTTTTTCACTATTATTATATTTGTCACTGTGATTTATGATCAGTGATTACAACTTGCTGGAAGCTCAGATGATGGTCAGCATTTTTAGCTATATAGTATTTCTTAATTAAGGTATATACAGTATTTTTTAGACATACTGTTGCACACTTAAAGGACAACAGTAGAGTGTGAACATAACTTTTATATGCACTGGGAAACCAAGAAATTTATTTGACTCACTTTATTGCAGTACTTGCTTTATTACAGTTGTTTGGAACCAGATCAGCATTATCTCTGAGGTATGCCTGTACATTTGTGTGCATATGTATATACATGTATGAGGGAGGGAGAGACAGTATGAGAACCTTTATGAGGGAAAGGGAGAGACTGTCTCTGGAAGGGTATGATAACAGTGGTTGCTTCTGGGCAGGAGAACTGGGTGGTAGGAAACCTCTACTATTTTTTCTTGTTTCTTTGAATATTAAATCATATGCATGTATTGCATATTCAAAAATGCATTACATTAATAATAATGATTAATTGACAGGCTTTGAGAAACAATGACTAAGGCTTGCTAAAGGAATCACTAGATGATGGAAAGAACCAGAAAATTATAAAGTTGTTGAAATGTTCTAAGCAGTTAACAAGTCCTGGATACTTTAATTTCTTAACCATGGCTTCTTTATGGAATTATATATTCTATCTTATTATAAATTCTATGTGGAAGTTACTTACTGTTCAGGGTTGAATGCAGAAAACCATGTATGATAAAGATTTGTTTTAAACATGACTGTTTTTGTTATTTATAGGAGCTCAGTTCTTTTAGCCACCTCCTGTATTTATATGGTTTATTATCATCACTGACAAAGTAGTATGACTGCACAATAGTCTTGTTTCCAGTGGAAGGTACAACTCCATTAAAGGAAATGGGGCATGAGAAGACTTTCCAGAAAATTAATGAAGAAGGGAAGAGGAGACAGCTGGGGAAAATATTCAACTAATGTTGGTTAAGATCGCTCATTTTTATGATGTTAAAAAAATGTCAAAAATAGGAAAGGATTTCTAGCTTGTTTTTTTAAGTTGGCTTGAATATTTCTGATATGGTTACTTCATTAAAGAAGTTGTACAATAGACACAGGGAGACTCACTCACCCTTCCTGGAACTGCGCTTGGGCAGACTCCTCTGCAACGAGAGTCTCATACTCCTCAGCAGCAAACCTGTCCCAGTCAGAGGGCTCGGGCCCATCGTTCTCAACATCCTGATTGGAAAGAAGACACCATCGGAAACACAGATAATCAAAGACAAAAACTGGAAATAGGTCATCACAAATGTGCATATCACTGAAAAATATTTTACAACATGGTTAAAAGGTGCTAAAGTAACACTTGTAAAGTGATTTTCTACAGCTCCAATCTCAAAATCATAATGAACTGCTTAGCAGTTTCAGGATGATGAATTCCTTAGCCTTGTAATCAGAGCTCTGTCTAGCCCCTTCTCCCCTGGGACTTTGCGGGGCAGAAGCTATCTGGGTGACCTGCGGTTTGCACATGCACACCTGAAATGCACCACTGCTTCTTCTGGCAAATTTTTACTGCTTCCTTAAAAGCCACCTCAGACACCCTATCACCTGCACTATCTTCCTGGAAACAGCCTGTCTTCCTCAATCATTTCCCTGCTTTTACTGTATATGCTTGGTTGCCACCTTTTGCTCTTTTTTTTTTTTGCCTCTATACACCCATTCCTTACATACTGAGTTTTTTCATCTCTATATAACCAGTGTTTCTTTGAACAGTGCTTGAATTTATTAAGTACTTTATGACTAAAAATATTCTTTATGGATCAGAGCAAATATTGATGTATTACCAACTCTTATAAAGGAAAGTAAAACTTAAAGGTGAAAATTTAAAAGGAAAATTTATAACACAAATTCTTTTCTTCTGCAATATAGGCAGCATCTTGGATTATATATTCCAGGTAAAATGATGTTTTTCCATGAAGAAAATAACTTGTTTTAGTATCACCCTACGATGTAAGGTTGGTTATGCCTAGAATTCAGTTATCTAAATATTGACCAGTGTGTTACGATTTTTAATCCATATTAAGAACCCTCCCACCTCAGCCTATTAACATCTCTGAAATCAGCATGTATTATTTTATACCTATAATTGTCATTGTGTTTTCTTGCTTAAAGGTATATAAAATAATGGGGCATCTTAAATTTAGTGAAATATGCTGCTAATTTTAGGCTACTGATTCTACATCTTGATATGTCCCAATATCAGGTACAGAGTACTTGTTTTTAGAAGGTGATCTTCATATTCTTATTACTATTTATATCAAACAGGTATGCAACATGTGGAAGGAAAAGAAAAGATGGAAAGTTTCCTGTAGTTGTACTCCTATAGGACTCAATGGAAACGTTTCCTATTAACATATTTTTCTTTTCAAACAGGGAAATAGAAGAGGAACGGGTGGTATTCTGCTTTTTTGTGTTTTTTTTGGACATGGATCTTATGTCCAGTTTTTTGAGGGTACATCGGTTTTTGTGTGTGGGAAAGGGTGCTCATCTCTGTTCCGGTGTGGAATATGACTTCAAACTGATGGTTATTATGCACAGCAACCACTGACACCTGAAAGAGTGTTGGATTATCTGAAGGCTGTCTATCAGGAAGAGCTTCTAGTTTTCATTATGATGGGGAAAGCTATTTACCGTGTATCCCGGAAATGAATGGTACAATTAAATCAAGCTCAGTATCTTTGTAATACAAATGTGAGTATTGATATATTTTTTAAGTTAAAGGGACATATTTTTTTCAGAACTTTTTTGGTAACTAGTTTCTAATGTAGATGTAAGTACATAGGCAATACAGTTCACTCAGTCATAGGCAGATGCAGCTTACTTGAACTTGAAGATTAGCTGTGGGAGAGATGTACTGCAGGTCCTTTATTCTTTCTTTTCAGTATGTGATGAAATATTTTAAATGTTACCTCTTTAAATACCAAGATTCCTGTAGGTAGAGACCATTTTTATCTGTAGCATGCAGCCCCTAATATTGCAGCCCTCGAAGAGGAGTTAAAAATATACTGGTACCTTCTGGACTGCAAAGGGATCTCTCTGTTCATGGTCTAAGTATTTTTCCAGATTAAAGAAAGTGTCATAAAAGATGTGAGCCATTCTGCATCTCTTCAGATCTCGTAGAGTTATTTTGCCTATGTAAAAACAAATCTGGTAAATTTCAAGGGCTGTATTGGCAAGTGAAAAAAACTTTTACTAAAGTTTAGAAGTTTATGTATGTTTATTTTATTATAAAAATCCCATTTCTTTAAGGCAAAACTGACATAACATAAAATTCACTATTTTAACCATTTTAAAGCATCCAATCCAGTGGCTTTTAGTACATTCATGATGTTGCTCAACCATTATCACTGTTGAGTTCCATAACAATTTCTTCACTCCAAAGGAAACTGTACCCTGAAAGCACTTCCCTCCTTATTGCTCCTCAGCCCCCAACCCCTGGCACTCATTAGTCTGCCTTCTGTTTATATGGAAAAAATCCCATTTCTTAAACAGGATTTCCCATCGGTTGTTGGTTCTATACTAACAGTAAAGGAGAAATTTACACACTTCTATATTTGGGAAGCCCATATGGAAAACTGGAAAGTTTAATAATTGAGGATAATCCAGATTATGTACCTTACTCTGTTACATGGGTGACCATTGTAAATGGCCCGTTATTCAATCTTACCATCGTTGGCTGGCTTCACCAGGTCAAGCATCTGACACAGCAAATCATGGAATGGCAAGGGCTCAATGCCCATGGCTTCCATCCTATCACACTGCTCCTCGTAGAAGTACTCTAGCTCGTACATGGAGAGTACACCGTCTCCATCCACATCCATGCAGCGGAACCAGTACTCAGTGCTAGGAGATAAGGACGCTCATTAGCATGGTCTGGTGGTAAGGGTCCTTTATGCACCCAGATTTATTACTGCCTGTGTTTCTTTTTAAATAAGTTACATATGTGTATACTTTAGACTTAGAGAGATGAAGATTTATAGTGTGTTATAAAAACTAATCCTTCTTTTCTCTTCCCCAGAACCAGCCATTTTCAACGCCTGATTATTTTGGTTTTTATTCTTTCTATTTTCAGGGAAGATACCTATATTGTTTATTTCTTACACTTCTGTTTTAGAAACAGTGTATTAATTTCACACTATAAAAGATGAGATTCCAACTCTTTAATCACTCATTCATTCTACTTTGCCTACGTGCCCTTCCCAACCTCTTAATATAAATTACTTAGCATTGAGTGTTTATAACTTTGTATTTTTCTTTGCTCAGTTTTTTGTGTATCTGTTACTAATTTGACCCCCAAATCTCTGCTGGTTCTCTATATCCATAATCAGTCCCATGAGGTATTCTATCAATTGGATTTTCTCAATGAAGTCTTTCTCAATTCTTTCTGACATACTCTAATCTGGACTGGTTGATCTCCAGGCCTGGTTCGGTTTCATACTAGGGATTCCTTTACCTTTCTCCTGTTTCTATTATCTCACATTTTCCTCATTCTTTTGTTATTTCCTTGTTTGGTGTAACACATCCTTCAGTAGCTTCCTAAAAAAGGGTGAGTGCCAGGTAAATTCTTTGAGATATTGGGCAGCTGAAAACACCTTTTATCTACCCCCCTAACTTGGCTGGTATTTTGGCTAGTTGCAGAATTATAGCTTGGTAGTGGTTCTCCTTCAGAATTTTAAAGACAGTGTCCTTTCTATGCATTGTTGTTGGGAAGGCTAAAGCCAGGATATCTGATCCTTTGACTATAACCTGTTTTTCTTTTTTTTTGTTGTTAATTTTTTTCTTGGAATCCTGTGGAGGTTTCTCTGAGTCCCTGGTGTTTTGAAATATCATGATGAAGTGCCTTGGTCTGGGTCTAATCTATTTTTTTTTTTGACTTTCAGAGAGCCTCCTCAATTTGGAAATTAGTATCCTTTAGTTCTTGGAATTTTCTTAAATCATTTTATTTCTTCCCCCCTTTTTGCCCTCTTATCTATCTCTTTTAATGAAACTCTTTATTCAAATCTACACAATACAATATGGTAGCCACTAGCCATATGTAGTCTAATTTGTGATGTTTTTAAGTGTAAAAAATATACAATCGGTTTTGAAGAACTTGGTATAAGAAAATGAGTAAAATATCAGTATTTTTACATTGATTACATATTGAAATAACATTTAAAATATATTGGGTTAAATAAGATATATAATTAATTTTGTTTCCTTCATACTCTTTTATTGTGACTAAATTTTATTGAAAAATATTTTTAACATTTTAAGTAAAAATTGTATTATTTAAGATGTACAAGATAAATTTGATATACATAGTGAAATGATTACTATAGTAAAGCCACTTATCATCTCATCTCCCATAGTTAACATTTTTTGAGGTGGGGGGATGAGGGAATGAGAGGACATGAAATCTACCCTTTTAGCAAACTCCCAGTATTCAACTGAGTATTACTAACTACAGTCACCACGGTACATCCCCAGAACTTACTCACCCCACATAGCTGCAACTTTGTACCCTTGACCAGTACCTCCCCATTTCCTCCTCCCTGTAATCCCTGGTAACCACTGCTCTACTCTTTGCTTCTGTGAGTTTTACTTCTTTTAGATTCCACATTTAAGTGAGATCATGCAGTACTTTTTTTATTTTCTGTTCCTGGCTTATTTTACTTAGCATAATGTTCTTTTGGTTCATATATGTTCTTGCAAATGATAGGATTTCCTTCTTTTAAAAGCTGAATAAGCCACTGTATGTGTGTACACCTGTCTATAGATATTTTCTGTATTCATCCATTGAGGGAAGTTTAGGTTGATTCCATATATTGGCTATTGTGAATATTGTAGCAATGAACATGAGCGCACAGCCACCTCTTCATGATTACTGACTTCAGAGGTTCAGTTTGAGAGGGCGATGTAGGAAGATCCTGAACTTACCTCCTCCAATGTACACACCAAATCTGCAGCTACACACAGAATAATTTTCTCTGAAAAAAGCCTTAAATAGCTGAATGACTCTTATATATTGGGCAAATGAGAAAAAGCCCCACATCCAAGCAAGTAAGAGAGGTTGAGACACTATCTCACCCTAAACCACACCCCACCATGCAGTGAGCAACAATAATGAGGGAACTCAGAACCTACAGCTTCTCTCTGGGGAGTAAAGGGTTTTAGCCCTACACTGGGCACCCAACCCCAAGTGTTAAGACCTACAACTGAGAGATGATTGCCTAAAACACTTGGCTTTGAAAACCAACAGGCTTGTGGCTACAAGACTCCCAAGTCTACAGTGAAGTGAGAAATGGCTTTAAAAGGCTTGTATGCTTGGGTGCTCCACCCCAGAGCCCAGTCAGAAGCAGCTGCCAGGCCAGCCATACATCCTGGGAAAGAGGCTCATTTCCTTATCTTAAAGCCGTGGTCTAAAAGGCAGGTCCCTAACATACATTTAGTGGCCCCCTGGGGTACTCTCCCAGGACAGAGGCTAGCAAGCCCCATTTTTACATTTTCACTCTGCCTTACTCCACACCGTTATCTCCCAGAGGGAGCCTTTACATGCATTGGTACCCAGGTTTTGTGGGTGAAGCCCTGTTTTTTTCAGTTGCGGGCTAGGGAACACCCAGTGATTGCCTGGTCCTGGTGGCAAGCAGGGGGGTTTGCATTCCCGGGTCCCATGGGACTGTAACAATCAGAGTTCTTGGCTGGCTGCCACACCAAGGTCACTGAACAGACAGGAGACTGAAACACACCCCATTTTTTGGTGAAAGAGGGCTATTTGCTTTTGCTGGAGCTCCAGCATGAGTGGCAGGCTTCAGGCTTGGCATGCATCTTGGGGCCTATGGAAGTGCTTTCAGGGAATGGAGGCCAACGGATGCCATCTTTGCACCCTCCCTTTGCCTTATGCCAGCTTGCTGGTATTTCCCAGAAAGGAGTTTATATGCTTGTATGGTGCCCCAATTTTTGTTACTGCTTCCCAGGGGACACCTCCAGTTCCTAGCTCTGGTGGTCAGTGGGGCTTATGCTTGCAGTCCTACAGAACTGTATATATTTGATCTTTAAAAGGTGCTGCCTGAGGTTGTGGCTTCCCATCACAATGATTCTAGGTGCTGACCGAGATCCTCCTAGGACACTGACAGGTCTCGGTACATCCTCACTGACTGGGAACCATTAAAAAATAAAATAGGCTGCTTGGATAAGTCAAAAGTTTGAGAGACAACCAAGAGCGAGGGCAGGGTTGAACAGTAAGGTTCTCTACATGAGGGTATAAGGTTCTCTATAGTTTAAGACTGGAAGAGGTGGCTGTTTTATCTAATGTGTAGAAACTATTACAGAAAGACAAGTAAAATGAACAGAGGAATATGTTCCAAACTAAGGAAAAAGATAAAGCCTCAAAAAAAGCCCTTAATGAAACAGAGGTAAGTGATTTACCTGATAAAAGACTTTAAAATAATGGTCATAAATATGTTCACTGATCTCAGAGAAGAATGGATGAACACAATGAGAACTTGAACAAAGAGACAGAAAAGATAAAGTATCTAACAGAAGTCACAGAGCTGAGAATACAATAACTCAACTGAAAAACACACAATAGAAATTCAACCACAGACTAGACAAAGGAGAAGAAAGGATCAGTAAAATCAAAGGGCAGTTGGATGCACCTAATAAAAGTAGCAAAAAGAAAAAGGAATGAAAATGGTGAAGACAGTTTAAGGGACCCATGGAGTAACATCAAGTAGACCAACATTCACATTAGAGTCTCAGAAAGAGAAAGAAAAAAAAAGGACAGAAAACTTATTTGAAGAAATAATGGCTGAAAACTTCCCTAACATAGGGAATTCCAAATAACAAGAACCAAAGAGACCAACAAGATTATAATTAAAGGGTCGAAGTTAAAGACAAGGAAGAATTGCAAAAGCATCAAGAGAAAAACAACTTGTTATTTATAAAGGAACCTTCCTAAGAATGTCAGATTTCTAAAAATTTTTTTATTAAGGTACTATTGATATACACTCTTATGAAGGTTTCACATGAAAAAACAATGTGGTTACTACATTTATTCATATTATCAAGTCCCCACCCATACCCCAATGCAGGCACTATCCATCTATGCAGTAAGATGCCACAGATTCACTGTTTGCCTTCTCTGTGCTACACTGTTCTCCCCATGACCCCTCACACCATGTGTACTAAACATAATACCCCTCCATCCCCTTCTCCCTCCCTCCCCACCCGCCCTCCCACACCCCTCCCCTTTGGTAACCACTAGTCCCTTCTTGGAGTCTGTGAGTTTGCTACTATTTTGTTCCTTCAGTTTTGCTTCATTGTTATACTCCACAAAAGAGGGAAATCATTTGGTACTTGTCTTTCTCCGCTGGGCTTATTTCACTGAGCATAATACCCTCTAGCTCCATCCGTGTTGTTGCAAATGGTAGGATTTGTTTCTTTCGTATGGCTGAATAGTATTCCATTGTGTATATGTACCACCTCTTCTTTATCTATTCATCTACTGATGCACACTTAGGTTGTTTCCCTATCTTGGCTATTGTAAAAAGTGCTGCGATAAACATAGGAGTGCGTATGTCTTTTTGAGTCTGAGAAGTTGTATTCTTTGGGTAAATTTCAAGGAGTGGGATTCCCGGGTCAAATGGTATTTCTTTATTTAGTTTTTTGAGGAACCTCTGTATTGCTTTCCACAATGGTTGAACCAGCTTACATTGCCACCAGCAGTGTAGGAGGGTTCCCCTTTCTCTGCATGCTCACCAGCATTTGTGGTTCTTGGCCATCCTAACTGGTATGAGGTGATATCTCATTGTGGTTTTAATTTGCATTTCCCTGATGATTAGTGATGTGGAGCATCTTTTCGT